TTCTTCGAGGCCACGGTCTGTAAGAGTTTAAGTCGATTTTATTGAATGGAATAATACATAAAAGAGAGAATTTTCTCCCTTTCTCACACCAAAAAAAAAAAAACACTAAACCCTCAAAACTAAACCCTAATAAACATAGTTAACCCAAATATAAATGATATATTGAATAAATAATTTTGAAAAATGACATTTTTGTAAAGATTTTTAAAAAATGAAATTTTTGAAAAATGGTATTTCTCAAAATTTCTCAATTTCTTTACGTTTAACAGAAAAAAAAATCATAAATCCGTGCATGAATGTATTATTTCTTACCCAACAAATTCATCTAATCTCAATATTCTCAATATTCTAGAGAAGAAAAAAAAACCTTAATTAGTATAAATTTCTCTCGGCTTTTGATTTGTGATAGTGAATATATTCCTTTCTATTAAAAAGGTGAAAAGGTATGTGTAACGCCCGTGAACCAAAAATTAGATTTTTAGGATGTGCGCCGATCGACACACACCCTGCGTGTCGACTTGTGAGAAGTCGCGATTTCGGGTGTTGCGTGACACAAGGTTTGTCTGTCGATCGACACAAGCTGGAATTGAACCCGATTGGTTCGATTTGAGTCGTCGGTTCGGCTCGGTTTAGGAGAAAACCCTAGGGCTTCCCTATAAAAAGGATGTGGCCGCGATTTTGTTCGTATTTTGTTTCCAGAGAGTTCCAGAGAGTTTTTCCAGCGAGTTGAGAGAGGATTTGAGAGAAAAGAATAATCATTGTTGATTGCTTCCTGTTCTTGATCCTGAAAGCTCGTGTGTATGATTGCGAGATTCTGGAACTAGGATTCGATCTGTGTTCTTCGTGGTTGAGGAAGGAATCCAGATTTGGAGATCTGACCAGTCATGTTCTTCGTGTTCTTCGTTGATTTCTTATCTTTTTCTATCCGAAATCGAGGTGAGTGCGTGACCATGGCTTATCTGGGTAAAAGAATGAATCTCAATGCGTTTGTGTGATGATTGTTTCTTATTGATATGGATAATTTCGTGTTATTGGATATGTTTGCTGACGGTTTCTGTGCAGGAGATCGACTCGAGGCAGAGCCGAATCGGACCAGAGAAGAGAAGGTTTGATTCTGCGTTTCTGCGATGTTGCATCAATCGACACATGGTGCGTCGATCGACACAGGTGTTGTGTGTCGATCGATGCCGTCAGTTTGACGTA